TCAGGGGTGGTCTGGTGGAGATAACCCAACGGAGAGGTGCTGATACAGATCAGATTTGGGAGAACTGGCTGGAGAATGGCCCACTAAAACAGTCGCAGTTGAGGGAGAGGAAGATAGTGGCAGGTCTGCCTTGGAGCTCTTTCAAAAACCTGATGAATGCTTATGAATGGGAAAAGAGTGTAGGCTTGTCTTGTGGACTGATAATCTTCTGTAGTTGATTATGCAAAGAGATTTCAGGTAATGGAATAACAAGAGTAATGACTGGGTTAGTTATTGTTGGACCGATTTTAGCTATAGCTTGACTTAATTTTAAGCAACCAGAAAATTACGACTACATTCAGACATATGAATACTACAAGTCCTGTCTTTTTAAAACATGTGCTGCGGCCACTTTAATCCTGGGTAAAGCAATGTTTCACATTTGTAACTTAAAAAAAGGGTAAGCAAATGTTTAAATCCTGAAATATTATGAAAATACTGCTACTGAAGAGTGTTAACAGATATGATGCGTTTGCTGTGCTAACACTAAATGCGGTGCTAAAACTATGTTATAGTGAGTCGTGTAGCAAAAGGCAACCAATCATATACTAAATAGTGCTTACTTTGGTTATTTAAACAGGTTGTGTGCCTGCATGCATTCATTTAACGTTACTGACTTCATAAATATGCAAATAAGAACGTTGACCCAACTGTACAGTGAAATTTTGATACCTGAGCACCCAAAATATGAACAGTGTGAAGCATTGCAGGATTTAGAATGGTTATGGGTTAACAATTTCAAGTGGAAATATCCTATTAATGTTGCCTGTTACATGTCATTTGAGATTGATTGTTCTGGTGGGGCAGATGATTTATGTGGTTAGATGTACTGACAATAAAACCTCATTGCTTAGATCTTTCCATGGTTTATACTCCAGGCACACTCTGTTGATGATTAACAATGAAATTTTAATCCATTCTTTGACATGATGCATTAAAGTTTATCTAAGGTCACCTTGTTGAGTCCAAACCTGTTCTTTAATCTTTTTTTAATTACGCAACTCAGCATGAACTACAGCTCTGATGTGTATATTGTCTCCGCCGTCAGCAGTGACGTGCTTGCAATTATGCACCGATTCTTCCTTAATGTGATTTAAAACTAAGAACTTGCAGATACATATACAATTATTCTTTCTTTCTTTCTTTCTTTCTTTCTTTCTTTTAATCACACATCTTTTACAGATGATGAATGAATGGATGAATGAATGAATGAATGAATGAATGTGTTCCAAAAGTTTGAGACCACACTGAAAAGAATTTCATTTAAATCTGGCAAAGGAAAAAATACAAAATAATAAAAAAACTTATATATATATATATATTCACACATACAGAGATTGTTATATACAGTGGGTACGGAAAGTATTCAGACCCCCTTAAATTTTTCACTCTTTGTTATATTGCAGCCATTTGCTAAAATCATTTAAGTTAATTTAAAATAAATAACAAATACAAATAATACAAATCAAACGACAGTAGTTTATCAGTAATCCTAAAAAAAAATAACACTGCCAAACTTACATGCTAAAAAACAACTTACACATAGTAAGAAATGGTTATAAAAACTGAAACAGAAGTGAAACAAGTAACGTTAGTAGGAAAGAGGAGAAATAAAAAGCGATACTTATTATATATATATAGTCATACATTCATTCACTGACAATATCACAGACAAAATCATATTTATAAATAATATGTATTCTTTAAATGCAGCAATTAACATAATGCAGCTCACATTTTACACCAGTTGTTTTCTTTGTGGTGAAGAACAGGCAGGATTTATGGCAGTCGTGACGCAGTTGTTGATGCCACTCCCCCTGTGCTTGATGCGTGACTGCGCTCAGTCAGTATGCAGTAAGTCACAGCACTTATTTGAACTGATATGGCGGGGGACTGTCACGACATCCGCCGCTTAAACGTGTAACACAACGCGCTGCCGTGAGAGGAGCCGAGTCGCCTCTGCGTTTCTCATGCAAATCTATTCACAAGGGCTCTTTTAAATCTCCCTTCCTCCATCTTTAAACACACAGACACGAGTTCAGCTGTCTCCTTCAAAAATATACGTAAGCCTATTGCCTATTCTTAGCCAATAACCGTCTTTTTATTAAAAGTAAATGAATGTAAGATAGTCCTGTCTCGTTTAATGTATTACGGGCTACATAACGCTCACCCCACTCCTCAATTCTCTTTAAATGTGGGTTTATTTCCTATAATAGGCTGCTTGCATGAGGCTGCCCAGCCAACGTCAGGTCCCTTATATAGCACTCTCTCACGGAACTGGGACGACAAGTGAACAGCATATGGAAAGCGACATACTGGCCATCAGCTTTAATTGATTTTCGAGACTGGGTTAACACACGTCTGCGTGCAGACAGCACGAAAAGACCATTTGGTGTTTAGGTTCCCTGGGAGGCACAAATCCCCCAGGGCTGAGCGCGAGGCTGAACAGTTCTATGTGGAAACAAATAACAAACCTCAGCAAGCCTATTTATTGCACAAAGGAAAACATGCCCTACTAAAAAACAGAATGAGTAAACAACAAAATAGAATGTTATCTGACAAAATAAAGCACACAGATATACAATTAGACACATATGGCACACATGTGGACACATTCATAGATTAATTATTTAACGGACAGCTGACATATACCTGTGTTATTATTATTATTTTTGGGTTATATAAACACTTTATTTATTTACACTTACAAATACCACGCGCGCACACGCACACACACACACACACACACACACACACACGCATGTTGTGTTTCCATGTTTTATGGGGACATTCCATAGGCGTAATGGTTTTTATACTGTACAAACTGTATGTGTTATTGCCCTACACCAACCCTACCCATAAACCTACCCCTTACAGGAAACTTTATTCATGTTTACTTTCTCAAAAAAACGAATTCTGTATGATTTATAAGCTTGCTTCCTCATGGGGACCTAAAAAATGTCCCCACAAGGTCAAAATTTACTAGTATTACTATCCTTGTGGGGACATTTGGTCCCCATAACATGATAAATACCACGCACACACACACACACACACATTGAAAATGAAAAATTACTTTTATATTGTGATTATAGATTCTTTTTAGATTAATAATAGATTATTATTAGATTATATTGTGTTTGATTTAATTTGATATGTAATTGTTGAACGTCCTCTCTATTGTTTGTCTTGTGTAGAACGACCAGGTGATTGTTATTTGACTAATTAACTGCTGCTTAAAATGAACTCGGATTGTGTTTGTTACTCACACCCTGACGAAGGCAAAATATAGCTGCAACGCGTAGGTGTGCACTTGTCACCTGTTCTTAAAACTTATAGCCATGATGAAATAAAGGCTTTTTACATTTTTTTTTTGAATAAGATTCGAGTGCCTTGGACTGCTATTATTCTTACGAGTTGAATCATCCCTTGCACCCAAAGAGCACCGAGACTAGAAACCTAATACCCCGTGTAGCACTTCTTTTGCATTTTTTATTTCGAGAAAAATTACTTTATTTAGTATATGTGCACAGGAATAGTCCATTAACTGTGTAGAATGTTAAGCTTTCTTTCAGAATAAAGTAGGCCTATATGTAATTTAAGTAGACTATATGTTTGTTAAATGTTTTTTTTTCTTTTCCTAAAATAGCATAGTGCTAGGCTAGCACAGCTGTTTACAGGAGCTGTGCTGTTAACAAATCACAGACTATATACTGCTTGAATATTTCATCTATGATTAAAAAAAAAACGTGCCATGTGTCTTTTTGTATATCTGTGTGCGTTTCTGTGTTATAGGCTAATTATTTGTCATAACATTTTATTATGTTGTTTACTCGATCTGTTATATATATAGTAGGGCATATTTTCCTTTATGCAATAAATAGGCTCCTTGAGGTTTGTTATTTGTTTCCACATACAACTTTTCAGCCTTTACTGAAATACAAAATTCAAAAACAGCATCCATAATACCATAAACAGTCTAAATAAGTAACAGCAGAACAAAAAGTAAAACAATTATACATTACATTAAAAAATATTTGAATGTATTTATTTTTTTTATTCTGGACTCCACCCATTCCTTCCGTACTGTCAAGCAAAATACCAAATTTGCGCCACGGCACACACAAGGGATCGCACGCACACTCGCAGTCATATCTTAACGCACGCAAATACACTAATTCAGTGACTCGTCCTTTCTGCAAGGTTCTATTTACATGACACACTTCCCCATACAGATAGCGTGCCTGGATGAACTCAGTCCCCCAGGGCACACTGCCATTAAACAGTGGTCGCTCTCTATTGGGTTAACATGACATTGACCGATTAATAAACAAGCAGTGTGTCTATACTATTTAATATTCTAAATATAATATATTATTATTATTATTAACGGCATTATTTGTAACATTATTATTAAATCTTGAAAGGATAGAATCCAAAAATACCCATTACGAGCAGAATGAGCTCTGCCCGGACGTTGCGTGTCTTCCAGGGTTTAGCGTAGGGAGACACATAAGGTAGGGGTTTCGAGGATTTTCTCTAAAAAAATCCCCTCAAAGCCCACTTGTTTTATTTTGATCACACATCCTCGCTATTCGGATCAGCCATCACGAAGACGCACAGGGCAGATGTATATGCATTTTTAGACACGATTCACGATCAAACGCCACGCAACCTAGATTGTATGAACCCATACTGTCAAGGAAGCGAAACATGGGCACGACAATATCTAAGGAGTATCCTTAAATAAATGTTGTTCCGTCAGTTTGTGGGTTGGGTAAATGAATCGCGCTCATTCGCTCTGAGAATACTCAGCCAGTTCAAACAGTTCAAAGAACGTTCTATTCTTTACGCTGTTTGCGTAGAAACGCGCGTTGTCGTCATGGTGACTGCGTAACGCTTAAGTTTCACCCTAAGGCGTGCTTTTCACGGGCATTGATTTAACGAATCGAATTCAACAGTTGTGTAGCAAAATAATGGGTATGTAAATACTTTTTACATGTAATTATACTTTTTAAATCCGAGTCTTTTCACTAAACTGTTGAAAGCTATCAGACATTCCACCAAACATGTACGTCAGGTTCTTGTGTTCAAGCTAACTTAGCTGGCATTTTTGCTATTCTGCTAATAGCGAAATGATTTCAAATGAAACTCAATGTGACTCCTAAATATGTTTTATTAAAAGCCAAAAGTGTCATGGAATAAGACGAAATAATATTATTGCTCTATAATATTATTATGCTAAATATTATTTAATAGTATATACTACTTTGAAATAGTTTTTAGTTGTATATTTGACATTTTAATTTTATTTATGTCTGTATAGTTTTTTTCAATTGTTATTTCAGTTATATTTTAGTACCTCAAGTTAAGCTGAATGAAAATGGGGAATGTTGCCTCAACAACTAGCTTTAGATCAATTGAAATAACGTTTTTAAATAACGAAATGAACGTTCATATTATTTTATATGAGTTACATTTTTTAATGGTTTTAGTTAACTACAATAACTCTGATATGTGATGGCTTGTTTTATAGTATCGCTGTCAGTAAATTCAGTAAAACTGGCATTTTTCTTCTGTCCTATAGAGGAGACACCTAGGGAGACAGCTGATAAAGCAGAAATGGAGATACACATCCCCTCATACCCCCTACCCCTGGAAATACAGCAGGTAAACAACATTAATTTCACAGATTTTACACCCCTGCTGTGCAGATGTAATTGCATAGGTTCTCAGTTTTGTTGCTATTGTACTCCATTATAATTACATACACTTCACATCTCTGCGTGATAGAGAGGGAAGTTTGATCCTTTGTGATCCGTTATGCTCAGGGGCAGCTGGCGAGAGATATGAGAAGATCAGCATTCATTCTGTCTGATTTATCAGGTGCCTTTGTGTCCTAAAGAGGTCACTGGGTCATTCAGAGGAGGTATATTATCAAAACCTACTTTGTGCAGTAAAAACATTCAGACTTTCTACATTTGCCTTTTTTTCCACCTGCATTTTTCTCTCTCAACACCAAAAACCAGCCTACTTGTTAAACCAGTTTACCTTTTTTATTTTGCTATTTAACATATAAAAAACATCAGATCAGTGTTTCTGAAATGCCAAATGATTTATTTCTTTAAAAGTAATGCAGAGAAGAGAATGCCCTTTTTATTTAAAGCATTATTATACCATATACAGTATGTAAGACTGTCTACCAGGAACATCAGCTATTTATATGCATAAGAATGTTTTTACTCTCTGATTCAACGTAGGAACTGAAACTCAATTCAGTGAGATACCAAACTACGCTCACCAACCTTTTTTTGGATTAAGTCATGTGCACATTTTGCCCTAAGATGCCCTTGCTTTATGAAACGTCTTTACATAGGGAGGATCCCATTTAAATGAACTCCTTTTTAGTATTGTGTTCCGTGTCAGATTCATGGCATCATTGGCATGCCACTCACAGGGTAAACACAAGGTCAAGAATGCCTATTATTATCCTTGGGCTTTGAACAATTAATTTGGCTATTTTTATATGCTGCGTAAAAGTGTTTTTCACACAAATCATTTTTGTCTCAGATGTCAATCAAAAATAATAAAGTGCGTTTGACATTTAATAAACACATATACACCTACTCTAACTTCTCGTTTATTGATCAATTCTGATTGACTTCCCTTCCTGTTTTTTCCTCCCTGGCTTTAACCCACATCCGCCTGTTTTAGGATTTTCAGCCTTTCCTCAATTTATTTGACAAGAGAAATGATGGAGATCCTACTGAGTCTCACTCTGGTGCCTCTCTCTAGCTCTGCTGCTCTCTAAATAATGAATGGGACAAAAAACAGCCACATTTTTCTACCCTGGGAGACATGGGGGCATAATGGTGGCATGTGTTGCCTGTTTAATGGCATGATAGTATCCTCAGCTCCCCCGCCACTGCTCACCCACTGTGCACAAACAACACCATCTCTCACCTTTGCATCTTAGGCTGGGTTAAAAACAAACACTCATCTAGTGCAAAATGCAAGTATAATTTGGCTTTGGTGTGAAAATGACATGTGAATAGCTGGTAACTTTATCAGGAACTGCAGTATAAAGCATGTGGTTTAAACGGCAAGAATGATCTTCCACTTTTACCTTAGTTGAAAATTTGCCATCAGAGGTTCATTGAGGATGTCTAAAGATTTTTGTTTTCCATCCAGAGCTCCACATGGTGACACATACGTGAACTATTACTCATGTTAAGCCATGAAAACGCAAGTATAAATGTTTTTATTAGAGGAAGCATTTCAAGTAGAGACTGGCTCAGACTTTTCACAAGTCTCTGATTAAAGTCAAGTCTCAAACCCTTTATGGTAATTGCTTTCCCAGTTTCTGGAAATTAATTTTATGTATTTCTTAATTATATTTCTAGAGATTTGCTTGTTCAGTAAGTTATACGTCATGCATACACACTACCATTCAAAAGTTTGGAGTCAGTCGAGCAATTAGTACTTTTATTCAGCAAAGACAGCAAAGTGACTGTAAAGACATTTATAATTTTACAACAGTGTGTGTGATAATAATAAGAAATGTGTGTTGAGCACCAAATCAGCATTGGAATGATTTCCAAAAGATCATGTGACACTGAGTGCATTGCAAGAATAAACTGCATTTTAAAATGTATTCAAATATAAAATAGAAATTAGTTATTTAAATTGTAATAATATTTCACAATATTACTGTTTTTACTGTGTTTTCAACCAAATAAATGCAGCCTTGGTGAGCAAAAGAGAACTATTATAAAATCATAAAAAAAACTGAACACAAACTTTTGAATGAAAAATTAATGCAGATTAATTTTTATACATTGACTTAAATAGAGGAAAATATGTAATATGATCATATATAATTATTTTCATTATGAAATAATATATTTATGTTTTTTAATTGAAAGTATAGTTTGATGGCTAAAACGCAAAGCTTGAATGAAAAAAGCCATAGCAAAAAAAGAAGTGTTCTTATTATTTTTCTTTCATAAGAACAATGGAAAACAACGCTCCCAGCTTGTTTTTCTCTGTGTGCCTTGGGCTGTAGATCAACATGCGGTCAAAGGTGATTCTTCTCAGCCACTGCCCTTCTTCTCCCTCCACGCGAGGAAGTGTGCGTGAAGGCGGAAGAGGAAGGAGGGAATTGGGAGAACTCATCCAGGCGTCAAATTCACCCATGACTGCTGAAGGCCATCGTCTGCCCCCTCCCTGCCCCAAGTCCTAGTCTACACCTCCCCCCTCCCCCTGTCAACGACCATCCTGCTGTCATGTAATGTGTTGGCTCTGTGGGTCCAGATGAGGATCTCAGCATTGGCTCATGGTACAGTGAGCACCACGGGGGGTCTTTATCTCCCTGAAAATCCACAATGCTGCAGTCACGAACCGTCCTCTCATGCTCCAATCACACACTTGCTCGGAAACATGATTTAGAGAAATTAGGGAAAAATCAAGGAGAAATTCCTTAGCTGCTTACTCTTTTACTTGATCAGCAGTGTCTGTGACTATTTCATGGGTAGTAGGAGATGAGAGAAGATCAAAAACAAAGAAAATGACTCTGGAGCCAGTTGTTCTGGATTCTGGAGTCTTAAAAGGATTGTTCATCCAAAAATTTTAATTATTTACTCACAGAGCCATAACTACCATAGACAATAACATATGGCCAAATTATCCCCAATATTTGATGTCCTTATTCTGCTTTTTGTTAGGATGACAAAAAGTATATATATATACATACATAAAATCAGTGTGTGTATATATATATATATATATATATATATACAGTATATGTACATATATGAACTTGTTCCTCAGAAGCACCAGCAAACAGTCAATGGCATTTCATTTAGAAAAAATAACTGTTGTAAATGCAATATCACACTCGTATATGTGTGTATACAACATTACTATATATATAGTAATGTTGTATACACACATATACGAGTGTGATATTGCATTTACAACAGTTATTTTTTGGTCCAAGGTCATATATATATATATATATATATATATATATGACCGTGGACCACAAAACCAGTCATAAGGGTCAATGTTTTGAAATTGAGATATGAGATACATCCATTGATGTATGTATGGTTTGTTATGAAATCTGAGGGTGCAAAAAAATCTAAATATTGAGAAAATCAGCCTTTAAAATTGTCCAAATGAAGTACTTAGCAATGCATATTACTAATCAAAAATTAAGTTTTGATATATTTACGGTTAGAAATTTACAAAATATCTTAATGTAACATGATCTTTACTTAATATCCTAATGATTTTTGGCATAAAATAAAAATCGATAATTTTGCCCCATACAATGTATTATTGGCTGTTGCTACAAATATACCCATGCTACTTATGACTGGTTTTGTGGTCCAGGGTCACATATAATGATGCTATTTACATAAAATGACATTTCATAGTCAAATTCCAAAAAGACAAAAAAGAAAAAAAACATCCAATTCTTGAAACTATATGAGAGCTTTATGAGATGAAGAGAGAGATTTTAAAGGATTATTTACTAAAAATCTTCCCATCACAGTGAACAACAACTAATGAATTTCTGTTTCTCCTTTTGTATTCAGTGGAAAAAATACAACAGAGGTTTGGAACGACACAAAAGTCAAACATAATTTTTATTTTTGGGTGCAATTTCCCTTTAATACTGCATAACATACTGTTATATTGTTTTTTGTTTTTTTGTTATATTGTCACTTTTCAAACATCTTTGTGTCCCAAATGATTTAAATACAGATTTATCAGAGGATATTCATAACAGGTTGCTTTGTGTAACGGTCGGAGGGGGTGTGGTAATTTGTGGAGGTACTGGGGGTATGTTGCGTGCCTGTAACACTGACCCATTTCTGACACAGTATTTGATGGAAGCAGATGAGAAGAGGGGAGGGGTGAGTTGAAAAAAAGATTAGGGGTCTGTTTTTGAAGACCATGGCACGTAAACTGCTCTTTCCTACCCGGTGTGCATGAGACGATAACCCCTGATGCTTGATGAAGGCAGAAAGGTTCCATTTAAATTAATTATGCCTCTTTCCTTGATAAGACCTCTGCTGTTATTTTCAGCCCCCCTGCTATGAGTCATATGTTGTTTAATTCATCTTGTCCTAGGGAATTGTGGCAAGGGCCATCATATCGATTAAAAATACATAACATAGGCTTATTTTGGCTTTGAAATGACCTTAAATGGGAAGTGTGTAATTTCTGCACAACTAGCAGCATTAAGACTGCAGTCTATTTGTTTAAGCAATTACAGCAACAGTGGCATGATTTGGGACTGCCTGTTTGTCAGACAATGGAAAAAGAGGACTTATCTGAAGTCATTCTTTTTGCAATTTTGCTAATAGCACAGAAATTACACACTGCGCCTTTCATTCGACTTTTAAAAACGTGTGACCGGCATAACCTGTCAGTCAAATACATTTTGAATCTGAAAGTGTGATCTTTCTTTTATTCACTGAAGGTTATACAAAGTGAACTTTTATATTTTTCCCCTGAGAAGGGATGTAGAAACAGGGCCTTTTGTGTCTTGAAGTATCCATCCAGCTCGGTACAAGGTATGTGTGTAAGCATGTGTGCGAGGAGGGCAGTGTGTATGCGTAAGTGTGTTTGAGCGCTCAGCGGATGTGTCAGTGCCAGGGGCAAAGGCCTCCCCGAGGGCCATCACTGTCACGGGAACACGTTCCTACTGGTGGCAGACATCTTCCCCTAAGGCCAGCATGTGCGTGTGTGTTTAAGCTTATGCATGCGTGCCTGTCTCTGAATGCGTGAGGGAGAGGGAAAGGCTTTCAGAGTTTGTGCAAATGTTCGCATTTCTCCGGGAGGCAGAGGATTGCGTGTGTTTGTGTTTAGACAGTTAGGTAAGCAGGATCACAGACCGACTTTAACTGAGACGGGGTCAAACTCATAAAGCATAGTGTTGCATTTGTGTGTATGTGAAAAATCCAGCCACATTCACCGTATGATTGATTAAAGAAAAAGTGAGAGAGATAAAAAAAAGACTTATTTATGAGTATATGAGCTGATCAGAACAATAGCCAACCTGAAAATAAACACAGAGTGAAGGGGTGAAAATGACTGGTGAAAGATGGGACGATAAATGCAAATAAATCCTTTGGTTTCTCCGCTCAGCAAGAACATCTCTATCACTTCTCTTTTCACAAGCACTATAATCAGAACGAGTCGCAGACTGTATATCTTTACAGTAAAATGACTGGAGCGCACAGCTGCATGCCCGGCCATCATGAACACATGATCTCTTACAGTAAGTGTAACAGAAACTGAGGCTGCCACAAAAAAATTAAACTGCTGTGTCTCTTCTGTTAATTGTTGCTTGTAGTCACAAACATAAATGAAAGGGAAACACGTTGCCAGCATTGTGCTGTTCAGATCAATGTTTAGTGGGCTTTGGTGTGGCATTTGCGATGACAGGTCTCTTTCAGTCCAGGGAGGAGTGGCAAGGCTTGGTTGTTTGTCATTCTCAGAAGGTCATTATAAAGCTGCCACTGGATTCAGTGAAGTGCAACGGTGTATAGAACTGACTTATATGATATGCAAATAAGGTCTTTGAAATGCAATCAATGACTAAATTTCGCTCTCTAGACTCCTGGCAGTTTTGGGTGTGTGTGCAGTGGTGTTGCTAGGTTTGTGATAGATGGGTAGATAGTTGGGCAGTAGATAGATAGATAGATAGGTAGATAAATGGGTAGATAGGTAGATGCGTAAATTGATGGGTAGATGGATCAATGGTAGATGGATGATAGGTCGGTATGTGGTAGATAGATGGGTAGAGCGCTAAGCAGATGTGTGGGTAGGTAGTTGGGTAGATGGATGATGAATAGATGGATAGATAGATAGATAGATAGATAGATAGATAGATGGGTAGATGGATGGATCAGACAGATAGATGAGTAGATGGGTAATAGCAGATGGGTAGACAGATTTGTGAATATTTGTGATAGGTTGATTGTGTTTATATTTGTGTTTGTGTTCAGATGGATCATTCTGAGAAGGCCTGTCGTTACTGTGGTGTAAGTTATTTGATCCTGCATGAGTTCCAGCGCCTGCAGGAGCATTTGTGGGAAGTCAAGAGAGAGCTGGAGCAGGAGAGAGGAAGTGTGGAGAGAGAGAAAACCCTGAGAGAGGAGCTCCAAGAAGCCTACACTCATCTGGAGGAGCTGAAAGCATCTGTGCTTCAGCAGGAAGAAACGTGAGTCTCAGTCACAGCTCCATGACTGCACATATCTCATTACTCATTAGGCACATTAGGCTGATGATACATGGGCAACTTTTTGAGCAATATTGCCATCAACGGGCAAGCAGGTGAGACACAGGGCCCACGGCCGATCTAAAATATCCAGATAGAAATTTGTTACCCATTCTCAATGGGAAAGTGCCCAAACAACATGCTCAAAAAAAGTTGCCAGGCAGATTTGTTCAAAAAGTTGCCCTGTGTATCATCAGCCTTACATGAACATAAAACAATTTATTTTTAGCACATGAATGTGTTTTTCAGGTTTGTCCTAAGTTCTGCTTTTTCATTGGTGCTCTCTACTTACAGTACATTATTAGGCCTATTAGGTTACACACATACTGCATCCGTGGTGCATGAGATTAATTTTGGTGTATTAGGCCTATTAGGTTGCACACATACTGCATCCGTGGTGCATGAGATTAATTTTGGTGAATCCCATATTGATGGGATACAGCATTCATCTGGTGCATGAGCCATCTAGTGCTGAATCCTCAAAGTATTATGTTTACATTCTTTATATAGAGAGGTCAGCTTACGATTTTCTCCCATGAAACTCCAGCATCATAGCAGGTTTTGGACTGGCAGCCAGTCATCACTAACATTTTCTTCAGAAAGTGTAAAAATCCACTGCAGTAAACCATCAAAGAAACTTACGGCAAATAGAGAGACTTCTTACATCAAATCCCATCTTCCCCTTAAAAGTGTATAACCTGTCAGTGCTGTAGAGGAACTATGATTTTATACCACCTATTTTCCTCTTGCTTCTCTCGGTGCTCTTTCTGACACCCGCTGCGACAGGCCAAAATATATGAATTCACTGATGTAGAAAATCTTACACCCACTGCATAACATACATTCAGTCTTTCACTTCATACAGCATCCACCCACCTCTTACCTAGAGCATTTATGGTGCTACAGTTTGGATTCACACATTATCCTACCCATTCAAACTAGTTAGTGAGTCAGGTTCTGACTAAAAAACTAATTTTAATATACTAGTCAGCAGGTTTACAAGCATATATTGGTGTGTCAGTTTGTAGACACAGAACTTTGTATACAGAATGTAGTAAAAAGGGTCCAAGACAACGTTTTTATAGGTGGGCTTCTCTGGGATATAACCTAGAGCAGTGGTTTTCAAACTTTTTAGCTCCAAGGCCCCACATTGTCCAAGACAGTTGACAAATGCTCCTCAAGTACGCTGAGATATTTCTGGTACTTCTGCTGCAATGACACAGCTGCTTGTTTTCAAACTTTTTTTTTTCTCCTTACATAAAGAGCAATATATTAAAATAATTATACATAAATTAAAATAAATAACATAATTATATATAAAAAAAAAAACTAATTTCCTAAACCTAACCTAACCTGACATGAAGGTTCAGTAACATGTTCTTCAGGGTTTACATTCTTAGCCACAAATTAATTTACATGATTTTTGCAGTAATTTGTGATTTTACCCACAAATAGCAATTTATCAGTAATTTCGACCCAATAAAATATTTTAGACTTTGACTAGAAAAATGTATGATTCATTATAGAAAATTCCATGATTTTTTAACATTGTATAAATTTCTATGACTTTTCCAATGATAGAAATCAGAGTTTTGTGGAACCCTGGTATGAATAAAGTTAGGAAATGTTAGGAAAATAATACCAAATACATCTTGATGTTTTATGTTTTAAAGCTAATTTTGTTGTGTTTTGTATACATTTTTTTACAATATAAATTATTTGTTTTTCAGCATTTAACGAGACCATTAACCAACTTTAGAGAACTATTGTTATTTTTATAGAACATTCAAACGTGATGTTTAATTATTAAAATATTTATGGAAAATTGCATACGGAAACTTCAAGTAAATGTTAGGGAATCCCAGCCCTGCAGGACCTTAGTAGGACCCTCTCATCAGCGGCCCGGGGAATCCAGGCCCCTGATGTGTATGAATACATGTGTGAGTGTGATTACTTTATGTATATCTATTTTTTGTATATGTGAATAGTTCCTCATTCCCTGAGCTCCTTAGCTCTGGTTTCCCTCGTGAGTCACTATGGGAGAGACGTGCATGCGTACGTCTTCTCTTCCAGCTGACGTGAATGCCAGGCATAATTATACCACCACAGCAATCAGAAATAAACCTCTCAACACCTACGCCTCCGCAGCTTAGCACAGACAGAAATTCAGAGAATGAGGAGAGAGGTGCAAAGCGAGTGTGTAATTGTGGATCCTATTTCAGCACTCTCTCCCACTGTTGCTGATAATAATAGCAGGTTGTGTTGTCCGTGTAAGCTCATGAGAAAAACCAAACAGCACAGCAGTTGTGCTTCTAGATCGGCCCCCACTGATTCATTCATACCCAGCACATTCCAGACCCGACACGACAGAGCAGCGGGCATAAGCGTGTGTGTTTGGGTTGCGTGTTTGCTAGTGGCATGTGGTGGACTTCTGAAATGAGGACTCAAAGTCACTTCTCTGCTTTTTGTTAGTCCATTGTAAATGGCAGCAACATTTTCTAGGAGGGGATGTTGATGATGTTTTTGAACAGGATAGTGATGTATATATATATATATATATATATATATATATATATA